AAACAACTACTGAATGTCTAGCAAGAGGATAGCATAAACAGAGACAAAGAGATGATTCATAACCCACATGGGACGGAGCAGAGTGGCATGAGATTTCATCACGCTATTCAGAATAGCTCAATATTTAAAACTTATAAATTATTTATTTCTGTATTTTCCCATTTAATAACTATGGATCCTGGTTGATCATGAATAGCTGAACAATGGAAAGCAAAACCTCAGTAAGAGGGGACTGCTGTATATAGGATGTAAAGAGAAGGATTAGAGAAACACCCAATTCTGATCATGTTGAATTGAAATTGGAATGTCCAGTGGGCTTTTGACTATGCAAAGTCTCTGGGTAGGAGATTTTAAGCCCATGAACTCTAAGTATAGCGGTAAGTATAGGAATGAATGAGATCTTCCCTAGAAAACAAGAAGAGCAGAAGTCTTGGGAATGAACCATGAACAACAGCATATGAGGAACTGACTAAGGAAGGCAGAACCAGTGCTAGAGAACTAACTAACACAGTCAAGAGTTAGGAGAAAAACCAACAGAGGTGATGTCAGTAAAGTCAAGGTAGCAAAGTATCAAAGAAAAAATTATTGTCAAGTGCTCCAGCGACATCAAGTAGCATGAGGACTGAGGGTCCAATGGATTTGGCTGTGAGGTCAGCAATGGCCTTTGCCTGCTAGCAAGACTTTTATAGAGTTAATCATTGGAGTTCAATTTCATTGGGTCAAAGAGAAAATGCAAAGTGAGGAAATAAGGAAAAATGTATCAATGCCTCCTGATGAGCTAGCAGAAATATAGTAGAAATATATCAGTGTGATCGGGAATGAGGGCAAGATTTAGGGCTGAAATAGGCCTTAGAGATATTCAAATAGCAACTCCTTATTTTGATACATGAGGAAACCAAGACCCAAAAAGATTTAGTAGTTTACATTATGACAAAGCCACTAAATTCAGGTTTTCTGATTCCAAATCTACCTGTATATTGGTGTAAACTATTAACCCAAAAAGGAGGGAAAAATATTTTTAATGTTCTAATATTAATCTTACTATTTTCGCATTTGAATTATTCTTTCTCAGGTAGAGAAAGGAATAAGTTACGATTGTACTAGAGAATATCTACGTGCCCCCAATGTATTGTACGTGCAAAAATGTGTTGATAAAAAGCCACTGGCTGGATCTGAAACCAAATGCCAAATTCAGTCATGTTGCAATATGCAAAATTAACATATCAAAATCTGTATGAATAACCAGGTATGGGAGAAACATTATGATACAGTTTTGTTTTTAAAGTACTTATTGAATTAGAAATGTAAAATACTACATTTTAAGATAACCATTCTTATTTATGGGAGATCGGTCTTACTGCTATCCTTGGGCAATTGTGTGAAAATATTCATAACAGTATTTTTGAGCATTCATACCAGAACATAAATTCTTTAATTTTTGGTATAAGAGCACCACCTATGGGTTTCTCAAGTATTTGGGGGGGAAAGTTTTTAAACAAAACTTAATAAAATAAAAACCTAATAAAACTCTTTCGTGTTTTCCCCTATAACTAGTCTATTCATTTTTTTAAAAGTTAACAATTGTCTGCTTTGTCATAAATTATTCCCCTAGTTTTTGGATGTATCTACCTCATTGCTGTTAAATCAGCTAATTAGTATTTGTGCACTTATATGTCAGTGCAGTATTATGATTTTAAGTTAAATATAATTGAATTCAGAATTATTATCTTGAATGTAGATGAATCTTTTCATGAATATGAGCAATTTTCTACATTCTTGGGGAGGAGTGATGATTATTTTTTCTTGTTTATTTGTATGCTTGTTTGTATCTTCATGAACTTAAGAATTCTTTAATATATAATTCCAGAATGCTTTGGCAAGGGATAAAAAGAAAAAAGTCTTTTTAATGACTTAGGATATCTTTTCATTAATTATTGTGATGGTAACTCATTAGAGCAGCAATTTTCAACCGTGGTGCTGCAAGAATTTTTAAAACATGCAGTACCTGACTATTTAATCAGGGGCACTGACCTCTTCCCTTAGATTGTCAAATTAAAAGATGACAGCGGCCAATCCAATCGCTGTCTGGTGTGAATGAATCAAAATTATACCTATTTCTTTTGTCAGAAGAATGTTGTACTTTTGTTGTGCCACAGAATCTTAATAAGTAGTTTATGTGTGCCCTGAGATGAAAAAAGTTGAAATTCGCTGCATTAGAGCATAGTTAGAAGCAAAACTCTAGCATTCCATTGTTAATAAGCTCTTAAAATAGAATCACATTTGTTTAAAATTAGTCTTTTTCTAAAGGGTCATATTAAAATTAAATTTTTATAGGGGAAATTTTAATCAATGAAATTAACAACAACAAAGATCCTTGCAAGCTTTAACTGTGGGTAGGCAATCAGATGTGTGCTAGGTTCTTGATATGTCCTTTTGTTCTGTGCCATGAATCTCTCTGTTCTGAAAGTGATTGAAAACAAGATCCCTTTGGCAAGGTACCCTAACTCCAGGATAGACCCATTTTAGGCATGAACACTTTAATCGCATGTGTTGTTGTTTTCTTTCAGGGAGTGGGTTATTCTATAGAAATAAGGATTACTAAACTGAGCAGTATAGCTTGCTTAATTTGGTCTTTGTGGATAAAACTTTATAGTATACTTCCTAGCATTCTAGCCTAAGTGGAACAAATTATAACCTCTGTGAGAGAGAGAGAGAGAGAGAGAGAGAGAGAGAAACAGCGTCATTATTGCAAAGTGTGATTGTATAGGGATACTTGCCTTTCTACAAATTGGGTTACCTAAATTTTAAACTAACAGCAGAACCCAAAAAGCATGACATTTCAGCCCACATGTTGTATCAGGCCCTTTACTTGCTTGATTCATTTATTCACTCAACTTCTTTAGCTAAGTATGACTAATTATGATATAACTAGTGGCCGGTGCACAAACCTTTGTGTACTCGTGGGGGGAGGGGTCCCTCAGCCAGGCCTGTGCCCTCTCACAGGCTCCCCAGGGGACTAGGCCTATGCTGGCAGTCAGACATCCCTCTGGCAGCCTGAGAGCCCTCGGGGGTGTTCCACTTGCCAGCGGGGAGCAGACCTAAGCTGAAGTCGGACATCCTTAGCGCTGCTGAGGAGGCAGGAGAGGCTCCCGCCACCACCACTGTGCTGGCACCCTTCAGCCTGGCTTGTGGCTGAGCAGAGCTCCCCCTGTGGGAGCGTACTGACCACCAGGGGGCAGCTCCTGCATTGAGTGTCTGCCCCCTGGTGGTCAGTGTGTATAATAGTGACCAGTCATTCCCAGTCTTTCTGCTGTTAGGGTCAGTTTGCATATTACCCGATTATTATATAGGATAGAGGCCTGGTGCACGGGTGGGGGCCAGCTGGTTTGCCCTGAAGGGTGATCCGGATCAGGGTGGGGGTACCGCTGGGGTGCCTGGCCAGCCTGGGTGAGGGGCTGATGGCTGTTTTCAGGCTGGCCATGCCCCCCGGCGACCCAAGCTCCCAGCCTCTCCTTTTTTTGCAGGTATCTGGGATTTATTTGTCTTCTATAATTGAAACTTTGTAGCCTTGAGTGGAGCTCAGGGCCAGCCAGGGCAGGTGGGAAGCTTGGCTTCCTCCATCTCTGGGGGCAACCCAAGCCTCCTCCTCACTCCAGCTCCGTGGCCGCCGCCATCTTAGTTGGGTTGATTTGCATAGTTGCTCTGATTGGCTGGTGGGCGTGGCTTTTGGGTGTAGCCGAGTGACGGAATGATGGTTAATTTGCATCTTGCTCTTTTATTAGTGTAGATGAGAGTGTTCTATTACTTTTGGGAAGACAGGTGGTATTGAACAGGCTCTGAGCGCTTGCGGTTTTTGAGTTCAGCACATACTTTTTCTTTTTCTGAACATTGCACCCATCACTTCTGATGACTCTCTGTGTCCCCCTGGCAGGTACTCTTGTAATTTGCTGCTTCTAATCTGTTACTTTAAAAATCAGACAATCCAGTTTGTCTAAATTATATCAACTAAGAGGTTCTAGCATATTAAATTTTACTGAAGGCTTAAACATTTATTATATATATTTGTAGCCCAGTGACTATTTTTTAAATTGAAAGAGAACAAATTGTCAGATTATGAACTGAGTTATGAATAGGTAAAATGTTAAGTGTATTACTGTGGAGCTCAAGGTAGTCAAGGAGAATGATCCAGTAAAGTGTTAGTAGTAGTTTGAACTTATTCTATATTTTTGTATGATATTCAGATATCTAATCACATAGTGATATTTTAATCACTGACTATTTCAAACCTTTATTTTTAAAATAATTTAGGAATTATTCTTTTATTTTTTTATTTTTAGTTCTTTATACATTGTTCATAATTGTACCTGTAATACAATTGGAAGTATTATGAATAAGTTTACCACTTTGCAGTAATTTTGAAATAATGTTGGCTGTCTTTATCCAATCATCCACTAACTTTTTAACAGTCCAGCTTATTATTATGTTTATATGTGCTTTCCCTTAATTATTTTATTCCTAAGACTATTTATATCATAGTCTTTTATTTAAAGTGTCCAAAAAGCAAAGTAGTACTCCTAAGGATCTATGCACAGTAGTTTAGTAAACATTGAATTTTAGGTAGTTTATAATAAAGAAAATAAATGTAAAAGATGAGTTTTGAAAAAAGATGGATGGGTGGGGTGGTGGGTGGAGCACGCAATTGATTGATCTCATGACTAAAGCTAGCAATTCTGACTCTTAAACTGTTATTCAAAGATTTACTTTGAAAAACTCCATGCCTCCTCCAAATGTGTACTTAATTAGGAGAAGATAATTTGATTAAAAGGAAGGAAAGTAAAATATCTCATTAGAATAATAAAAGCTTTTTAAAGTTAATACCATACTTTACTGTATATGATTTGATGTGTGAAGTGTTTGTTTTTTAAAAATAAGCACTGAGTTACTTAATGTTTTGTTTTAAAGTATGATAATTAGCTAAGATCGCTTTGGCTATCTTCCAGCTTGTGGAGAAACTCCAGAACAGATTCGAGCACCGAGTGGTATAATCACGAGTCCAGGCTGGCCTTCTGAATATCCTGCCAAGATCAACTGTAGCTGGCTCATCAGGGCAAACCCAGGGGAAATTATAACTATAAGGTAATTCTGGCATCTTTCTGTATTATTATACACTGTTTTATTACAAAATATTTCTGTTTCCAAGTATCAATACTCAACATATAAAAAGATGATTTTCAGAAAATGTAATAAATTATAGTTATCAGTATCATCTTAAGGGTCAGAATAATAGTCCATCCTTTCC